TGGTCCAGGGCTGGCACCCCCTCCGCTGCGCCGCCATGACGCTTACCAGGACCTACAGAACCGAAACGATAGCTGTGAGTACAGTGGCCGGGACCAAGGCCCTGTGAGATCATACGGACCTTGTTGCTTTCACTGCGATGTCGCGAGAGCGATGCTGTCTTCGCACCCAACGACGCCGAGGCAAGACGAGCAAGGGGAGCGTAGCCGAGGCGAGGCGGCGGCGTATGCCTGGAGCAGACGGTTCTGGGGCGGGTGTAGCAGTACCAGGTACGTCTACATCGCCAGGGGGAGAGCGGCACGATGAAAGGCTGCAGCGAGCTCCGCGCGCACGAGCACACAGGCTCACAACAGGCCCAGTGCGACCCCGCGCTCTCCGCGTTTTCGTGCACATCGTGCGTGGCCCGTCGCGGTACGTAGACGCGCCTCGGGACGAGTCTGTCCTGAGGCGGGGGCGTCCGAGGGCGTACCCGTGCACATCCGAGGCGACAACCCGTCGAACGCCCGCCGTCGACTTGTCGCGCGGACATGGCTAGTACGCGCGAACGGCGTACAGTACGCGCCGCTGGAGCTATCCTGCACACGGTGAGTCACCTCGTCGCCGGCTCTGAGCACACATGCTGCTCACCTCAGATCAACCTCGCCGCGGCCGCCTGCACCTCACCGCGAGCGGCAGACTCGCCCCGCGACCGAGTCGAGACCGCTGGGCTCGAAGGTAAGCGCTTCTGAGTCCACTTCACGCACAGACGACTGACACTGTACGCGACAGCCGCGCACAGAAACGCGTCGCCGTGGCCTCGTGTCTCGACGCACGCGGCATCTCGACGACCGCGGTACGTCACCAAGAAGACATGGGGCGTGCGCAGGAGACCACGACGCAGCGGGGGAATCGGACGGCGGGAAGGGAAGGACGCGGGACGGCTGAAAACGAGTGTATTACGGTAGCACGTAGCTAGGTACATCGCTGCGGGCCGTCTCGAGCGGCGGGGACGAGGGCGGGGACGGTGGTGATGGACCTCCCCGCGTCCTTCGGGTGCTCTCACCCGGCTCGTGCGCCCGCTCGCGGACCGTCGGTGGCCGTGTGCAGCCGGAGAGCGGGCGCACGAGATTGCGCACAGGCAGGTGGGTGGTATCCTGGGGGTTGTGGTCAGGATGGGCCCACGCGAGGTAAGACAACCGCGTACCCTTCGCGCCCGCGACGCAGTTTCCGCGTACGCGGACTGCGTCTTCTCAGTGTGCACACAGTCTTCGTGGTGTGCGCTCGAAGCTCCTCGCTTGCGGGGCTCGGTGGACCGCGCCGGCGGTGCCTCGGCGTCGCTGCACGCGCGGTCTCCCGGACCCCGCCGCGAGCTACGATCCTGTCCCACGCGCTGAGACGCAGCAGGGGAGGTCGCAGGCCGCGCCCAGGAGTGCTGGTGCCAGACGGCGCGGCGGGAGGAGGCGTCGGCGGGCGCGGACGCGCATTTTTGCGCTCGCGCCGTGAGATCACCCATGAAATCGCGCCGAAGATGCGATTTTCACCCTCTTCGTATCGCCCCGAGACTTCGTGTGGGGGTGCGCCCTGTTCCATGGGAGGGCGTAGTTGTGTTCGGGCGCGGCCCGGACGCGATGCCGGCGCGCGAGGGGGGCGGCAAGTGGCGGGTGGGGGCCGACCTCGTACTTCGCCGAGCCCGTTCTGCGCGCGTTGGCGTCGTGGCCGTATCGTGAATGCCTTATATGTGGTTTACACATAGCATGCGTCGCGTTTCGGGTCTTTACGACGCGCTCCGGCGAAGTTGTGATGTGTCGGGCGGCGGGGTGTCGAGAGAGCCTCCGCGACGAGGTCGAGCTACAGCTTGGTCCTACGCGGTTGCATGCGACGATAGTCGACGCGGAACGTGCACAAGCACACGTCCGCCAAGTTTCGCAGCGTCCGAATGGGAGGGGCAGCCGCGACGCGGAAATTTCTGATGTGGTCGTCGGATTCGCCAATGAAATCGGCCTGAACAAGAAATATATTTTCTTCCCGGATCGCCGCCAAACGCGTGGGTGTATGCGCCCTGGTGCACGGGAGTGTACCGTTCTATTTGCGGGCGTACCGGATGCGATGGCGGAGCGCGAGAGCGGCGGCAAGCGGGCGGCGGGGCCGCGGAGTCGGCAGCGTGCGACGCGCGGGACGTGCGCGACGTGGCTGTGCGCGCGGGACGTGCGTCGTGTGCGCGTGACGTACGTGTCTGAAGTGTTCGGGCAGCGCGGCGTCGCTTGCGGGGTGATGTGCGCGGACTCGGCCTGGGGTGTCGGGCTCGGTGGTCGAGTTTGGTCCAGTGCGCTCGCTCGACGCCGTTGCACGTCCGGGGTGTTGCCGTGGATGGTGGAGGGATGGCCTCTGCGGCTGGTGAGGGTGTTTTCCGGCCTGTACGGAGAGGCTTGGGCGGGTCCTCGGCATTCTTGTATGCGCGGCAAACTGAAAATCCGACTTTGTCAGCGCAAATCACGTCTGCATGAGCTGAAATCCTGCCTGGTACAAGATGCATGTAATTCTCACCGAGCTACATTCAGTGGGCAGCGGTCGGCGGGGGTGTCAGGGCGGGAGGAGGGGTCAATGGAGCCTTGGGAGAGCCTGCCTTGCCAACGGCACCCCTCGCGGAGGATGCATGGGGTATCTCTGCGCGTCTCGTACCGCGTGCACGCACGTCTAATGCGCATATACCCAGCACACAGAACGGGGGCGTTGCGGGGCGCGGGCGGTGGACGTCCATATTGCGCACACGGCAGGCACGCCATGCCGACAGCGCCGGCGCCGCAGTTCCGCTTTGCCCCACAAACGGCGTCGTGTGCATGCCCCGACAGTGTACGCGCACGCTCGTGACGATGCACGCAAGGGGCATCGTGCGGCTGGGCGCGGGCGTCGGCGATTTTGTGTGCGGGCGCGGTGTAATCGGTGCGCTGGCATCGGAGTTCGCGGCGGACGGGCCTGGGCACGCACCTGAGTGGTGTGGCGGGTTGCCTAGACAGCGCCGTGGACTGGGCGCGGACGCCGGGGCAAGTGGGGCGGGGCGGGAGACGGCGGCGGACGGTGGTGGGGCCACAGGCGGTGCGCGCGGAGGACGTGTGCGGCGTCTTCGCGCATGCAACAGTATGTGAGGGCGGGTGCTATGAGCATATCGCCAGCTCGGGTAGGCGGGGCGTCGGGGCGCTCGGGTGGTGGACGGCATTGTTGAGCGCGTGTGCGGGCGCGCGGTGCCGATGGCGTGGACGCCGCAGTTCCGCACCGGGCCGCGAGCGGCTTCGTGGGCATGCGAGGACGACGTATGCGTTGCTTTTGTGCTGTTCGCGCAAGGTGTACCGTACGAGGGCGTGCGGGCGTTCGAGTTTCGAGGCGCGGGCGACCTGTGAATCGGACGCTGTCAGTGCAGTTTGCAGCGGAGGATGCTGCAAACGCACACGATTGGGGGCTAGCACAGCCACTGTGGCGTCGTGCACAACGCAGACGCGTTCGTTGAGGCGGGGTGTTGCTGGAGACGGTAGAGTGAGCACGTAGAGTGCCAACGTCCGCAAGACATGGCGCGCGGAGGACGCCGGCGGCGGCTTAGCGCACGTAGCGGCGTGTTGCTCTGGGTGCGACGAGCGCATCCGCAGCTTGTGGGACGTGTCCGTAGAGGTTTACGGTTGGCACTTGTGCATGAGGGACGAGCGGCCGCGCCGCGTACGCCGATACCAGTTCGTCGCGGCCTCGCGAACGCCGTCGTCGGCGCATCCGGACAGCATGTACGTGCATATTTTATGCATGGACGCAGTCCGCCGCACGCAATCTGGTGTGGGCGTGGGCGAATTACCGCGGAGGAGCACTCTAAATCGGTCATTGTGAGCGCAGATCGTCGCGGCAGAGGCTGAACGCTTGCTACAAACAAGTCCATCGTCGCAGCTATCGAATGGTACCGAGTGCCACGGTGCCGCTAGACGTGTGCGCGCGGGAGAGACGGAGGAGGTCGAGCAGGGGTGGCAGAGTGCACACGGCGCACGCAGGGCGCATCCGCGGTCTGGCAAGCGTGTACAAGGCGAGCCGAGCAGTCGATGGACGAGCGTCGCGAGAGGAAAGCAGCCATTCGGCGCCTAATTGTCGCGGCAGACGCGACGACGTCATCGACCGAGTGGCGTTCACGATCCCTCCCCGGACGCGCAGTGGCAGCAGGAGGGGAGGCGAGAGAGATGCGGGGCGATGACGGGGCGTTGGCGTTGAGATCTGAGGAGTCCTGGGAGAGAGCAGCCATGGTGGATGATAGCAGACGGGAAGTTGACGGTGGAGAGAAGGTGGAGGGTATTACAGCAGCCGCCCATGCTCCTCTTCAATTATCTACGTCAACATCGCCTCCTTTATCTGATTACCTACCTTTTTCTTTCTCCGTCTTTGATTGCTCAAACTTATTTGCTAGCCCCTTTCTTAGCTGTCAACAGAAGATCGTCAGAGCCTGTCAGCAAAAATTAATTGCCCCTGGAGCCTGGCACATCGCACGGCCTCGCTGTGCGTTCCTCATCGCCCGACGACGGCGACGCTCATCTCCTTGACCTCCGAACATGTTGCAGACGAACTCTACCGCACCGCATCTACCTCCTCTTGGCTATCTCGGCCCAACGCGTCTCCGGAATCATCACGAAGACGTCAGCCGTGCAAAGTTTCGCCCGTTTTCGCCGAAGTGGCTACATCATGATATCCAGATACCTCTTCCGCGAGCTGCGTCCATCACGCTTTCATTTCCGCCCGCATAGTTGTGGGGGTCCGATGTACAACGTCCGAGGATGGATAGTTCTATCCGGAAACCATCAGGTCACTCAAAAGTCGCCCAAGCCTGAGGTTCAGGTGATACTCGTAAAGACGCTTGAGAAATGAACCCTGTTCCGGAACTCAGTACTCTTGATTCAAGGGAACGTTTCCTCACAACTGGGAAAAGTTACAAGTTCTGTACCCAACGCTATTATGACGTGCGGGCCCGCGATCGCCGCGGCCCTTGGCCCACACGGACAAGTCACATCGCCTTGCTCATACCCTCCGTGCGTACCTCCCACCCCGCTTCCGGGAATCCTGGTGCAGCATTTTTACTACCATCCCACCCCTCAGCCATCATCGCCATCGCGTACAGCAGCGAACCGGAACCCGGGAAATACGGAGTCGGAACGCGCACGCCGCCCACGGGCATCCCGACGTCGTCGAATTCGAACAGCGGGTGGAGCAGCCATTCTATCGCCTTCTCCGTCTCTCCGTTGCGCGCTGCGGACATCGCCAGCATGGGGAAGTCCCATCTGTGACGTGCGAACGGAACAAGCTTTTCAGTGTCAATCAGCGCTTTGGGAACAACAGCCACCTACCCCCAGCAGTTGCTGATGTTCCAGCTCGTCCAAATCTTCTCCGCCGTCGCCTTGGCCATATGCAAACTTACATTCGCGGTCTGCGGCAGCCATCCGTACAGGCCCACCATGGCGGGGTGGTCGTTGGTGAACGTCGGCGTATCCCAAAAGTCACTCGGGATCCCCTCGTAAACCGCGTACAGTTCGTCTTCGATCGGGAGCGGGGCCAGGTTGTCCTTCACCTCCGTCCACTCGGCCGGCACCGCTTCTCCCATTCTTTCCATCCAAGTGCTCGCGTGGTCTAGACCGAAACGCCAGTACGCCAACTCAAACGCCGGGTTGCGCGTCACGTTCGGGCTCGTGTCTTCGCTCACGATGTACATTGGTGGGCCTAGGTCGAAGAAGTCGGTGCTCGCGTTCCGGTGGGCATAGACCGCCATCCAATCCGCCGTCGCACGTACCACATCGTGCCACTTCTCCAGCGTCGCCTTCGATCCGGTCGCGCGAAATTCATACTCGGCGAACACGAGTGAGTGTGGCTGTTCCCATATCAGCAGTTCGTTGATCTCCCCCGGGGCTGACCGTCCAGCTGGATCGGTCATTTTGGACCAGCGCGCTCCAGTGGAATAGCCTTGCTGGACTTGAGCGCGTTGGATCGCGGTGGGGAGGAACCGGGAGTAAACGCTGCTAGCGCGGTTGAGGAGGTCCCAGTTGTTCCAGAGCGCCCAGTGCGCACTGTGCCAGAAGAACATCTCCATGTGGAACTTGCCATACTATGAATGCCGGTCAGTCTCCCCACCTAACTGTCGATCGTCTTGCTCACCCATCCGTTGTTGACTAGGCCGGACTACGAACTGTCAGTCAACAGCGGCGATGGCATGCGGCGACGTGGCTTACCTCTTGCGGAGGATAATCACCCGCCTCGTTCACTCGCAACAGATACTGCGACAGGATGATGCGCCGTTGCAGCTCCTCCGCGCGGGCATCAGTGGATCCCGTCAAAACGTCCACGAAACCGTGATTGGACCAGAAGTCCTCCCAAGCCTGCTGGGACTCGCGCTGGATCTCCTTCACGCCCGATACTGCCTGGACTGCCCCCGGCGAATACGCGACTGCGACGGAGAACTCCTTCTGGCCGCGGCGCGGGACGATCTCGTAGCGGTGCGCATCCGGCGAGACTCGCTTGGCAGAGAAGGCGTCTCCTCCGACGGACGCGAAGAACGTCGTGGCGTCCATCGTGTGCGCGATCTGCGCCTGGATATTACGACCTAGCCCACCGCCCGTGCGCAACGCCGTGGTATGGTTGCTCGTCGCGTTCCACACGCCGACGAAGGGCGCCTCGAATTTCTGGACGCCATCGTTCCACGGGAAGTCGAGGAACACCCCAAGGCGGCCGCGTTGCAGGAGCGGAGACA